TAAAATTAAAACAATAGTACTAACTTTTATAAAGAATTAAACGCCCAGTCCTTGGACTATATCTTTGTGTATTAATATCATAATAATAAGAATCAATTGTTGTAGCAATAAGCACTATAACTCGGTTTCAGTGTAGAGGTCGCCACAAGCATAACAGCCTCCTAAGGACAATGTCTAAAAAGCAGTTTCTTTACAGAAATGACCATTCATTTTTAAAAGTCTTTATTTATATTTCATAAATAATCACATGTTTCAGTTTGTTTTTTCGAACTATTATGTCAAGCAAGGCTTGCCTATAAAAAGGCAACTAAAACAAAAAATCTGTTTCGCTACCCCTTCTACAAAAGACAAAGCATTTTGTACGATGTTTTGTTTTTTTCATCCTCTATTGTATTAACTTGGTCATATACACTTAGGGTTAACACTTATTCTAAATACGAAGTAAAGATCACCATGTGTCTACATTTCAGTTGTTAAGAAATCTGGAATTGTTCCCTGTTCTATGGGTAGCACATTCTAGAAACTTCTGGAAAAAAATATTACCTCAGTTGTTTAACGTAGTCGCAATTGTTGACACCAGGTAGTGTTTGCATGGATCGTGATAAAATATCAATATATATTTGTAGGTCTTCGTCGAACTCAAAAGATTGCTTAAATTATTTAAAACAAAGGACTTTATCAGTTGTATAAGAATACGTCAGAGGACAGAGAACAGGAAATATTATAGAGGATATAAAGGAAACAAAGGAATTCCTTCTGAAATAGAAGACGGCCAGCAACCGTACATACAATTTCCATATAACTTTTCACATTATATGTATTTTATACAAAATTACATTTATTCTACACTTCTTCCAAATTATTACAAACACATCATTCTGGTATATTATCAATGACCCGTCATGTGATTGGACGGCAAAGTGTTTTGTTTTGCTTTTTCATTTTTGTAATGACATCGCAAGTCATAAAAGCCTAGTTGAATACTTTGTGTTACTTTAAACATTAAATCTGCTGTTGAGGTGTGTTGCAGAATGTCTACTTGGGAAACTGCTTTAGTTAGTCTCTTAGTTAACTCAACCGCTTAAAGATCTTATAAAGTAAAAATTAGGAAGATAGGTTGGTTTGAATTTCATGTAAAGCTACACGAGGCTATCTGCGCTAGCTGTCCCCAATTTAATAGTGATAGGCAAGAGGGAAGGCAGCTAGTCATCACCATCCACCGCCAACTCTTGGGCTACTCTTTTACCAAAGAATAGTGGGATTGACCGTTACATTATAACGCCCACCGCAGCTGAAAGGGCGAGCGTGTTCGGTGAAGAGGAATCGAACCCGCGACCCGCAGATTGCAAGTCGAACGCCCTAACCACCGGGCTATGCCGGGCCTACGAAGACAGACATTTTAAAAGTAACATTAAAATTCTATCCAGAACACTCATTTGTCATAGTACTGCCATGGTTACATTATTATTAAACTACTTGTTCTTGGTATAATTTGACTATATATACTACAAAGAAGAAAGTGAACGAATGTAATATTTATCATTCTTGAAAAATTATTTATTTATATTTTACAAATTACAAGACACTAGAACACAACAATTTACATTTATCTTAATTCTATTTGACCAATCTTCGGGAATAACAGTATCACTCGATTTTTTTATTCTATAGTATAATAAATATGAATGTATTTTCAACTGAGTGTTATCTTCAAATGTTCTACTTTAAAAATAAGAAATGCAGAAAACGCCGAGTGAGACTATACCATTAGAAACGAGAACATTTATGACAATGTTAGACTTCACCATAAAAACACGTTGCTTTCTTTACACTGCGGTTGTATCACCACAAATGACACCTTACTTAGCATGTTGTGTAGACATACATACGATACAACATAGCACTTTACGTCCGACAATGACATTTTATCCTATACACAACCAGAACTGACAACTTACGTGCAATATACCACCAATAGTAACAACCTTCACCCGTAAAATGAAACTACATTAATCGAAATATTACATAGCGAAGCCGCATTATCAGAGTTGACACTGTCTAATAATACTTGAGACACACTAGAAACTAATTCACTGCGTGCTATTTATGCAGTGAAACTATACAATGATAACTAATATATGCACAGTGAAGTTCGAAGACTACAAATAATTAATACACTACATAATAACTAGTGAATTAGTTTCTTGTCTATTATTAAGAGTAGCTGCATCATTGGCTAAAACATTAGAACAAAACAACATGCTTACTGTACAGTGAACATTCATTCAAACCTAACACATAAATTATATAATGCCAAACTTCACTATCGGTCTACAATATCACGTGCTTTATTGTGAGCATACAACCTCTAAAGCTAATTATATACACTCTATATAGAGAAGTATCAGAATACTAAATAAATATGTTAAAAAAATAATATACCAAAAATTAATAACAATTAATTGTTGTTTGTTATCAAACACAAAGCTACGCTCTGCCCACCACGGGTATCTAAACCCGGTTTCTAGCAGTATAAGTCCGCAGACATGTTACTGTGAACACTGGGGGGCAATAACATTTAAAAAATTGAGTAACAATATTCTTTTGTTTTTGTTTGTTTGTAGTTAAGCACAAAGTTACATAATGGGCTATCTGTGTTCTGTCCACCACGGGTATCGAAACCCGGTTTCTAGCATTTTAAGTCAGTAGACATGCCACTGTGCAACTGGGGAGGGGGGCATTTTGTTTTTGATAAAATACATTTAACTTAGATACTTTTTTAGTAAAGTTAATATGTTATAAAATATTTTTTTGCTGGTTGTTTCTGTTGTGTGTGTAATGCAGAACAATATTTCCAACATTTTGTAAGAGTAGATGTAAAGTATTACTTAACATGCGAGAGGGGGAAGAGTTAAATAAGAGAAAGAAAAAGAAACATCTAGATAAAAAGGTAAAAAATTCGTTCCCAGTTATTCAAGCAACCATATCGTTTTAAACAATCAACGAATTGTTTAAGAAGAGGTAACATGCGAATCGTGTTTAAGTAACATTTTTTTCTTTAACATATTCTTAGCTTCACAAACATCAAACTTCTTTATTTCTATTGAACATTTTAAAAATAATTATAATATCTATATTAAGTACGATATTTTCTTCCATTAAACAGTTATTGGAATTGATAAAGAGAAGAATAAAACATGGTCAAACTTAAACAACAAATTTGTCTGTTTTAGCTTCATGTACTTTACTATAACGTCTTTTTTGTGGGCATAATATTGAGTTTTATAATCAGGTTTACATTAATCTCTTCCCGGGAGTTCTATTTGAAGATTTTTTTATTGGTGATGGGTTGAAAATAATATTTAAAGACTTCTCTTTCAGAGTACGTGTTAATTGAGTGTGTTGTTAGTTGGTTCATTCGTGTGTGTGATGTAAAAGTACGTGTAAATTTACTGTGTACTTTCAATGTTTGCATAATTAATGGAACTGACTGTTTTGTATGTATAATTATTTTAGTGTTTGCATAGTTAATGAGATTGCGTTTCCATTATTTGTGGATATTCTGCGAAATACAGTAATGGAATTAGACTATTTTCACATTTTCGAGAAAGGTTAGTTGTGTTTACCTTTTAAAAGTGGAATGAAACATAATTTTATTAATTATGGAAATGTAGACCACTTTGTTTAACAGTATGAAGATATTCTCGAAGTGAATCTTGATTTTTTTCCCAGTTTAAGGTAAACATACTAAAATTTTAAAAGCTAAACAACGTTTTATTATCAAACTGGTATATTTAGGAAACAATACAGTTTGAAGAAAAATAGAAACCATTCCACTCCTCCTGTTTTGTGTCTTAATTTACTTATAAATGAGATTAACAATTCACTGCCTTGAGCATATATTTCAGAAAGTTTATAAAATGTTCAGCATGATTCAACATTCTGTTTCCATTCCGTATATTTTTTCTGTTGTGTCTACCGTATCAGTTATGCTAATTTGATTTGATTTTAAACTTAGAACCACCATTGTTGCTGTATCTGTCTACTTTCAAGCTGACTTTTATTTTCTTATGGTTAAAAAACAAAGCAGGAAACTGTTGAAAAGATTAGCTCATCAAACTAGGTTTTATATCATTTGAACGGGATTTAATAAGTTGTTAAAAACAAACAAATAAAGAAAAGAAAACACTGCAACAGATAGGTGTTTGCTCATGTTAATAATACCGTTACCACGACGACAGCACTTAGTAGTTAGTTATTTTTAATTCGGTTTCTGGTAGTTATGCGTATTCTAGCATTGGAGCATTTCGTTATTTCAACATTTAATGTTCATATTTACTAAATAAATGATTTATCTCCAGTGCTTGTGAAGTCAATAAGAATAACTAATGCTCGTAGAGTTGTAATAGTGTTGGTACACTATTAATATTCTATTCTATGATTATTTAAAGCAATGGATTAATGACAGGAAAATATATGATTATATTTTTCAAGTTGATTTCATTTTGTGGAGTCGATAACGTTGACACGTTACTGTTTCATCTCTGGTGCTTTTTACCGTCTTTCCTTGACCTCATGTTTTTTCATATCTGGTGCTTTTTACCGTCTTTCCTTGACCTCATGTTTTTACCGTCTTTCCTTGACCTCATGTTTTTTCATATCTGGTGCTTTTTACCGTCTTTCCTTGACCTCATGTTTTTACCGTCTTTCCTTGACCTCATGTTTTTTCATATCTGGTGCTTTTTACCGTCTTTCCTTGACCTCATGTTTTTACCGTCTTTCCTTGACCTCATGTTTTTTATTCCTGGCATTCTCCCTTTATCAAAGCTCTAGTCTAATCTGTTTCTCACTAACGCTTGGCAAATGTTTAATTTTCGTCTCGTCGCTTGTTCACCACCATACTGGAACGTGTTCCTCATGAGCATGCGTAGTAGCTACAGCTTGTAGTCGCTGCATCAGCTATAGTTCCCACGACATGTAACGAGGGGAGAAGACTGGAAGCTTGCCAGAGTGGAGAACGTCTATAGTGCGTTCCTTCAGTTATAGATAGAGCAGACAGACCGAACGCTTGGGGATCTTGAACATGAGCAAATAAATCGTTTTATTCCTCTGACTTCTACTACGATTGTCCTACAGAAGTGTTTTCTTTACATGTTACTGTAGACAGAACTCTTTAGAAATTTTAGAGTTTAAAATATAAGCCTTTAAACGAAATCGGAGAACTACTCTACTGTATGCCTGAAGGGGAGACGATGTATGAACCGGCTTCCATTCCAACAGAACTGTTAGAAGAAACGACGTTTGTAAGATTAACGTTATCTCATTCTATCTGCATTTTTTAAATAATTCTAAATATATATGAAAGACAATATTTTCAACTAGAAAAGCTCTATTACAGTTGACGATTGATTACCCTTGTTTCACCAGAGTTAGTTAAATTAAATAAATCGCTTGCTCATTCTGGTTTAACTTTATATGATAGGACTATAAAGGGTTTGTGTTTTGATTAGACATTCTATGTTAGACATATGTCATCAAATACGTACTTCGGTCCCGGAATATAAGTATGAGCTTTTCTACAGTGCATCGTATAATTGTTGAACAACAACGGTAGGACTCAACTCTTTCCTAACAGATATCTTAGGAAATTCGTTAACACTGAGCAACTACTTATCCAAAACGGATGTATTATTTATTGAAAACTTTTTTACGAATATCCTCTTTCGAAGATTTACACTTTGTCGCTTTTCTATTACTCTGATTCACAGTAATTTAAAGTTTTCTGTGTAAAACTGTAAAGGAAAGGATGTTCTTTTAATGTCAAATGATTTGAAAAGTTTTATGTGCTTGTTTTATGTATGCTGAATACGAGACTTGATTACACCACGTTAATGGAATGTTATTGCTATATTGCTTTACAAATGAAAACCTCAACAGAAGTAGTGTGATCGATTTTCAAGTATAAAAACGTAGTGTTGTGTTAAAAACGTGCCATAAGTGTCAGTATTATTCGTGGAACTCCAGTTCGAAACGTCTGAGAAGAATTAAGAATCATTCTCTGCATCAGGTCCGTATTTCTAACCCTTCTCGATACACACTATTTAAAGCCTGGATTGTGCTGAGCCCACTCTTGTAACTTAAAATGTTCAAGTAGTATTGTTACGTTTTGGAAGTATTGTTAAGAGATCAAGAACTCGACGAACAATAGAATCAGGAGTCCACATCGAGACTAATAATAAATCAATCTTCTTGAAACGCCACTTGTAATCACCGCGTACTGGAAGTATTGTGATAACAGCAAGATTCGCGAAAGATCAGTTTCGTAAGACACCTCTTGTGCAGTGTAACAATATTATTAGAAGCAAGAGTGTATTGGAAAACCAATCGTTTTCACGTCAAAGAGAAACAAACTCGCGAAGAAACGTTTTGCAAAAATCGATGAGTTTAATTCTTCTGATTCTATAAACTTCGAAGTTTATAATAAGAAAAGAATCAAGAAAAAAGAAACATGGACGGTAAGTCTACTAGTGTGGTAGTTTTTTTAGTATTGGGCACTGTACTGGTTGGATTTAACCTTAGTGGTGACAATATTGATAGCATTCCTTTATATTTGTAAACTGAATTTAGTTGGCGTAGAAATTCAGAATCTGTAGTTCTTGTTAAAACCTGACGTTCTAACGATTGTTATTATAACACGGTAGTGCTGTGATAAAACTGGCCTATTATTATTATTATTAATACTAAAAACACACATTTACGTAGAATAACAACGATAAATTTTATGTTGATAAAATTCTTCAACTAGGCCTGTACTAAACGCCCACCCGGTGGCACAGCGGGATGTCTGCGGACTTACAACGCTAGAAACCGGGTTTCGATACTCGTGGTGAGCAGAGCACAGATAGCCCATTGTGTAGCTTTGTGCTTAATTCCAAACAAACTGTACTAAACAGTCATCAGTGTTGAATACTTTTCTTTATTATATACCAAGTAAAACCTTCCAAGTGCTCACCTAACGTTCGTAAAAAAATTAATATTAATTCTTCTAATCCTACAGTTGAATACAGTAAATCATTAGTTGTCCAAACATTTTAGTTTTCTCTGTTTTTAAAAATAAAATAGAATAAGAGAATGTAGTAGAATCTAAAGTATACCGTGGAGAAAATATAATAATAGAAATTGTCTTTGGAGACACTTGGGAACTCTCCCAAACAGCGTCTGAGATAAAAACATGGGTTGGGAAAACTTATTAGAGGTTTTTTTAGTATTATTAAGTAGGATATCATTATATAAAGTTCAAAGGATTCTAAGAGCATGAAAAAAATGGTTAAAATCAAAAATATCTATAATGTGTATGTTGTATGTCTTTAACGACTCAATTTCTTACTATTTAGTGTTAACAGCCAGAAACGTATCGAAAGAAAAAGAAAACACAAACAGTTCTGAACGAATGGGTTTTATTTCTTAATCCACTCGTTTCTCTTGCTATTTTATTCCCAACGGTATTCGAAACAAGTTTTTAGAGGTCCAACGCAAAAAAAAAAGATGATTTTGAATGAGAGGCCCTTTTGTTACTAATATAACATGGGCTCTAGGTTACTTTATGTTGAAGTATTTTTCAAAATGGATATACTTGTCTGTTGCTGTTTCTTGTTGATAGAAAAGAATGGTTCCCTCTCTTTTCCCATATACTTCATGTGTCAGAAGTCCATTGATGTGATGATTTCTTGTGTTTAGCTTCCTCAAAATACACACACACGCACATTCGATATGTCGGCAACAAATGTTCTTTGAGTCCGACTTATCCTCATGTTTGCTTTTCTCCCTGTTAAACGTGATTTCACAATGTATCATAAAATATAAAGACAATGTGAAATCACGTTTAACAGGGAGAAAAGCAAACATGAGGATAAGTCGGACTCTGTGGTTTCTATTATTACCATACTTCAGTTTTACACGCTCACGAATCCAAATAAACTGAGATTCTGTCAGACGAACAGAGTCTATAAACATCTATTAACCTCACAATTCACGGTTAAACATAGAACAAGTTATTCTTTTTCACGTTACAGAATTTTCATCCCTCACCAGGCTTAAACGTAACGTGATATAAAAAACAATCTTCTAACATCATAGCAAATGTTTGTTTTTTTTGTTTTTTTAAATCTAAGCCATGAGAAAGCGGGGTGTTTTATTTTAGAACACCCTTCCAAAACCAAAGCAAAACATCTAAGCTATGGAGGAGTCGAGGTGTTTTAAAGAAGCTGTAAAATTAATTTGATTTGTTTTCTGACCGTATCTACCGTTTTTGGGGGTTGTTTGTTGTTGTTGTTTTTCTTCCACAGACGTTTCATTGTCTATCTTGATAATCGAAGAATGCTGGCTGATTATGTGAAAGTCACCCATCCACGTGATCCCACGGTATTCGGTGCCATGTAGAATCGTTAAAGAGCCTCGGCACTGTCAGCTTCTAATTCACATATATGATGTTTAGAACATTTAGGATTTAATATTTTACTACAGTTTTTGCTACTTGTTAGCTACAGTCATGTTTAAATCTTAAAGCTAATATAACTTTTGGGCAATTTTAGCTCCTTATTTTAGAAGGTTTCATTGTGTTAATTCTTTTAGCAAAAGGGATTCGCTTATCCATTGATCACCCACCACTAAATTTTGTTACCGAGACACGCAAATATGTATATTTAAGCATACTATTCAAGCTGCAAACAATATATACCCCTAACAATTTAGTTAAGAGTATTAACTTTTTCTTTGTTTTTCTAACAAGAAAGAACTGCTCAATATTCCACTGAAATAAATAGTTACAAATTCACATGATATAGCTGGGAAACAGGCATTGCACAGCAAGAAGATGTTGCCTTTGGTTTGTTTTTAAACATCATATCCATGAGCCTAAGGAACAAAAACAATTAGTGGTCAAACGCCTATTATATTCACAATCTCGGTTTAATTAAATATAAGGGTAACGAACTGCAGTAGTTTGGGGTTAAACCTAAATAACGATATATTTTCCTTAAAATACAACAATTAATTCGCCTTATTCCTTAAAATTTGGGTACAGTAATAAACAATTGTATCTTTAAAAGTTTTAGCCTGATCTAACTGTTACTTAGCACAGGAATAAAAGAAGTATTTAGTGAACAGAAGAGGATAGAGAACATAAAAATACCCTTCACTTCATGCCCTCATCTACCCTCTGGAAGTCATCTCCTGATTAGAGCATCAGTTAATGGTTCGAAGAACATTAAAGCCTTTTAGAAACGGTCACTTGTAGAGCACGTTTGACAGCATAGGAAATAATATAGTTGTGGACCTAATATAAAACTCCCACTTATGAAAATCTTCTTCAGTACGTTTTATTTCCTTGAAACAGAATAATTGTTATGAATGAAACGTATGGAAAAGGTTGCGATTGCGGGTAGTCTGGATATTATCAAGGGATAGAATCATCGAATGAAGTCACAATGGTTGAATTAACTTCTGATTTCTCTGACTGAACTTTATAAAGCAACAGCAAATAATCTTTCATTCCTTAATCGTGACCCTGAATAAACTGTGCAAACAACGCTTCCTAGTTCTGCAAATGAACAACGTTGCTACACTAATAGATTTATATAAGTCTATTTGTCACTGTATTTGTGTGGAGCAACCGCGAATCAATTATATTTTTATTATTGTGACTAGAAGTTTGAGGTTAATTGTTGGTTGATGTCAATTTTAACTGAAAGATTATATTTTAGAATTGAGTAAATTCAAAAAACTAATCAAACTTTCTAAATAACCACACGATTTGTTTGTTTTAGAGCAAAACCACATTGAGCTATCTGCTATGTCCCCCACGAGGAATCGAACCCCACCGAAATTTAATTGTAAAATTACTTTATAAAAGTTCATAGCTTTTTAATTAATAAATGCTTAAAAACTGAAGCTGAGACTTTAATACATTTAGGTAAAAACATTTAAAAGACAACAGTCAAGTCATTCCACTTTTAGCTGAAATTGTATAAATTAACAGTTAGGGGTTAACACAGTCGAAAACATTTTTACTGCTAATAAAACTCCAGGATGGACTTGTTTTGTTGTGTTAGACACAAAAGTACACAATGCACTATTTGTGCTGTGGTCACCACTGGTATCGAAACCCGGGTTTTAGCGATATGAACTTTCAGAGATACTGTGGGGGGGGGGGGGCTCTCCAAGAGGGAGGGAGGAGTTATGCTCTCTTTCTATATATATATATATAAATATATATATTTCTAATTCTTGAATAGATACATAGAAACATAAACATTTCGTATAAATGAATATGTACATATACACTTCTCTGAATATAATTAATATAATAATTTTATAAACAACTATGTATTAATGGTACTCAATGGCAGATGTAATCACATTCTCAAAGTTGTGTAGAAATGAATTCTCAAAGTGCTCTGTTAATTGTTCATTTGGAAAGGAGCAGATTATGATAAAACTGAATTTTCCAGTAATTGCATAAGAATTAAATTCACCCCGTAGAGGTTTTTGGGAAAAGTTAAAATTTATTTAAATTTCACGTTAATGTTGAAACAATTAAAATGTTGTGCATTTTCGATATTGATGTTGATCAGTAATCCTTTTTTTTAAATTTTAACCATACCGTAGAGCCTTTTACAAGAAACTAAAAAAGAAAAAGAAAAAAACATCATTAGCAAATTCACTCTAACCGGGTCCAACATAGCCCAGTAGTTAGCTTTCCGGGCAATAGATCTGCTGGACCATCGTTATCGTCAAAAAACAAAATTGCGCTCCGCACTTTGAGACTTTATGTGTGTTATAAGGGTGACGGTCAAATCCCAATATTCGGTTAAACTACAGCAGCCCAAAAGTTAGCGGCAAGTGTTGTTAACTAGCTGGTTAATCAATTCAAAATTAGCTACAGATAGCCTTCGATTAGTTTTTAGCGAATATTTGAAAACAAATAAACAGAAGCAGACATGAAACCTTCCTCAAGAAAAATCATTCCTTCGTTGTTGTTTTTTTCGTTTCTAGAGCTTGAATATTAATGTTATTATAAACATTTTTAATTAAAGCACAATCGTCTTCAACCCGAATAATTCAGTCTTCTTTTTTTTTTCGCTACTTTTCCATTTGCTTTATTAACTCCTAAACGCACCGTACCTTAGAATTCGTCAAACTGGAAACGCTAGGAGTCATTATAAACTGTATATGGTTTTTGACGAAAAAAAGTATAGGAGGAGCTATCACCGTGTTTTGAAAATTTTCACAAAAGGTTAAATGAAGTATGTAATGAGTTTAATTATATTGTTATGTTTATATTATGTGTTTATATTATGCATACGTGTTATATAATGCTTTCTCCAACACAACATGCCCCCCAGTGGCACAGCGGCATGTCTGCGGACTTACAACGCTAGAATTCGGGTTTCGATACCCGTGGTGGGCAGAGCACAGATAGCCCATTGTGTAGCTTTGGGCTTAATTACAAACAAAC